ACTTTATGGGCTTCAAAATTTGGAACACTCCATCTTAAGGCAGAATTCAAACTTGATAGCATAAGATGGTACCTGAATCTATTTTAAGCTATTTTGAACTGCTTTCAAGAATTATCTGGCCCTATCAGCCACTGGACATAGGAAATAAATCCTATAATTCTAGATCCATTCGCTAAATGTATACCAAGCTTAAATAATCCGCTTATCTTGAGTTCAATTATGGCGTGCTAAATAGACGAGTGGATGGCCTTATTATGTAGTTTTGCTTAATTGTTAATCTGCAAGTGCGAACGGGAAGAACTGGTGGCATCTGTGGGTAAGATTATTCACTTAACTTTGAGAAATTAAGACGACAGTCATTTATTCTATTCGTATTTCTAGATGATTACTAGAAAATCTTGAATACGAGGTGCATTCAACCTAGATTAAATATGGCGATGGCAGCTGAAGTTTCCTACAACGTTATGAGTAAGTCTCAAGTTTTCATTGAAGTCGAAATAGTCTTGCTCCCCAAAAGGTATTCCCATACAGGGTGCACGCCTGGATCCCTTCAATACCCCCAGCGAAAATCGAACCAGGGTAGCGTAGAATATAATCTTAACATATTGCCACTATGATACACTACCAGAAAGACTTGAATAAGAGCTCTCAAGGTCTCATATGAAAGGGACCTAGATAGTCTTGAAGTTCACATTTGGCGTATAACTCATTGGCACCTGTTTCAGCTTCGAGTAGTGGTAATGTATAGGAATTGTCACTGCACTACCTGGAATCGATTTGCACTAGGGAAGCCTAGGTGAGGTTGAAACTGCATTCAGCCCTGGATGAGAATATCTTTTGGTAAGCAAGGATAAGTGAAATTAAATAGCAAAGTGAGACTTACTGGAATAATTTAAGGAAAAATCGACTATCAGTCCTCTGTCTCTTTACGTGACCTAGAGTGAATAGAACCTTATTCAAGATTGTGACATGACCTTGCATTTCGTAGGAAAAGTTGATTAGAAGGAATTCGGGATGTGGTCTTACCGTAAACCGAGGGAGGATTGCCGCATAGGGAATACTGTTGTATTGTTTAGTATATTTTTGTTCTATACCTTAAAGTAAGCATTCCTGCTCTGATGATGTTTGTCACAGTATAGACAAAAGCTTAGCGCAGTTTCATCATGGTCGCAGGACGGTGAGGCACAATACAACAGTCTTACCCACGCGGCAAACCTCCTTCAGTTTCCGGTGAGATTACATCAAGAATTCCTTTAAACCAACTTTTCCTACGAAATGCAAAGTCATTTCACAATATATCATTAAGGAATTCTTCGAAACCCAGTTTTTCTATATAACCTATGCAAGATACTCTCGAAAACCTACTTTATTTGAGTAAAAGCACTGAAATGCTTTGAACTGTCATATAATCTTCACTTGATGATGCTATACTCATTCCTCCGTCGTTATGGGCTTACGCCCATGACAGTCTAAAGAGAGGTTCGAATAAACAGTAAAACATCATCTAATTGGAGAGAGTAGTCTAGACTTTCACGGAATAGCAAACCTCGGCATATGTCTACCTCTTTCGCCCCATTATTGTTAATTGAGCTATGGAAAAAGTGATAGCAGTATGCACGTGCCTCTAAGGGATCAATTATAGCTGGGTTTTGAAGAATCCCCTAATAAGTTCATGCTGTTGTACCTTTTTATTTCTTTGTGATACTGGATTAAAGTGGCTTCACAGAAGACCTGACCGTTGAGTGTTGAAGTCTTCGGCGTAATGTCCTGCAATTTCGATTAATCCGTACTAAGCTTTCATATGCCCTGCCCTGCTATTATGGCAAAACATCTGTTTCCTCAACAAAATCACTTGCATTTATGAGCTTACAATATTTACGCATATACTTGTTTTCGCCTACATTTACATTTTATGAATGCAATGCTCATGAGCGATGCGAGATTTGGAAAAGTATTTTCCTCTTGCTCAAAGGCTATTCCCTCTTCTTAAGCCCATGCAAAACAACAAAAAGTCTTTATCGTTGTCCTGATTTCGTTTCTTCAATTCTGTATGTTGGCCGTTTAATTTATTTCGTAGGGCCATCTAATTTTAGCCTTAGTCGCAAGATCTTCATTAACTGCAGGTGTCCAGCCTTAATCAAATTCATTGCCAGTTCTGATTTTTGGATCAACTAACCTTTAAAACCTATTTTGTGTTTAGTTGACCTACCAGGACAGGGTCTACAGGCCTCCACATAGACGCTTAAACATCAATAGAAAACCTGATAACTATCGGGCATTAAAAAAATAAATAGATTTACAATCTTGGGAAGCCAAAACCAATTTATCTAAATGCCAAAAATGGTTGTCAAGACACCAAACTTGAAGCCTGAGAAGGAAGGCTAGGGGTCGCGATTATTCACTTAGCTCAACTCTAGGCAAGTTCATCCTTAATTTAGACGCTATCACAAATAAATGTGAATGTAATTCTACTTTGATAAAAAAATATATGGATAGGCCTGCATATGAATAAATATATAAGTATGAAATACCATTGATACGAAGACCAAGATGTTGTGGCTTCTATTTTGGTCGCAGTCTCCTTTCGATGTATAGTAGTCATTTGACCTTGTTTTCCCAACTTGGTCACAGTGCAGACATTAGGAATTGTCTCCACAGCTCATCCCCTCCATTCAATCCGTGTATCCTGAGCAAGTTGTGATGTCGTCCTAAGAATGGCAAGGCTCATTGACGATGCCGGTAAAACGTCTCAGAATGTACCAAGTCCAAAGTCCGACTATGGAAATTATCATGTATGCTATGGACTCTGGACAATTTGCGTTCCTCTACGTCTTTCTAACAATATAACCAAGTTGTGAAAACAAGGTCAAGTGACTACTATGAAATTCCTTGTCTATCATACGGTGCTTCATGCACGGCTTACATAAGAGAGGATACGATAGAAATGACGAAAATGCAGGGTAGTAGCTCCCGAAAATATATGAATGTAAAATTGTATGTAGTAGTAGGAGGAAGAGCGAATGGCAGAAGAGTAAGGAGGAAATGAAGTATTCGACAGAATGAAGTTTCTTACTTAACTAACATCTGGCTGCCAGTAACTTTATCCTGCCAAGTTTAGTGGATAGTCTTATCACAAGGAATGCCCACACTTGATTCGATCGTTTGTTTGTGTGTCTCTCGTTAGATCGTTAGCATTATGCTATCGACAAATAGGCACATTGTTCCCTATACAGGATGTCTGACTTTTCCCAAATATATACTCTCCTCTCCTCTACGTGTATATCAGTTTAAGTATCTTTCATTTTACTAGTTTGTCCTCACACTTTGGTATTAGAGATGCACATGTGCCTGGCCCTTTACCAGCCTACTCGCCTGCATCGCACTCTAATTCGCTCATCGGCTTCTGCTGTCCGGTGTAGCATGGTCACCCTGGTAACTAGGGCTCGAGACAAGCTATCAGCTGCAAGACTTGACTCAGTTCCTCACCTTTCAGGCGGGCAACTCCGGCTCGACTGGCAAATCAATTGCAGAGACCGGATTAGCGCGCGCCAGTCTGTGTGTGTACCCGACTGCCCGTTTGTCTGTACATCTGTACCTCTTTTCCAGTGCACCAGGTTGCAGACACGTGTATTCTTTAAGGGGAGGGGGTTGAAGAAGAAAGAGTAAAATGGATTTCAGAAATGTTCTTGCTCCACCATCTTCCCTGATCATTGGACGAGATGTGAAGCAAAATGCAGATACTCTAAGGGAACTCGCCTCAGTCTGACATCAGAACGGCCCCAGTAACCAATAGATTCCTGGTGTTGGACCAAGGTGGATGATGTGAACCAGTTGTTGGACTCCGTCTGGCCAAATGTCCGTTTGGCACGGGCGCCCAAATAAGAGCATCCACTTGGTTTCTCCTTGAAAACTTGCCAGGGAAACAGATTTCCTCAAACTCAGTCTCGAAGCTGTTCCGGGGAGATGACAAGTTTAGAATTTCCCGGACACTAAGGGGATGAGCGGTCGGTTGACTGGAGATGACTAGTCAAAGTATCTTTCAGTAGAAATGTTTACTTCTTTTTAGGTATAAATATGTTTCGAGAAAATCAGAACTTCTAGAATAAAAACTTATTCCCCCTTAGGTCGCGTAAGGTGATTTAGGGATGGACTTTATAGCGTAGGGGTAACTACTCCAAGTTACTTCCGTCCCTGAATCGAATCCAAATGAGATGAGACGATGTTAAAACTGAAACCAAGCCTGGATGACGAAGGACGAAACAAATATCACTGGGATCTGGCAGTAGTTAATCAAATGGAAATCGACCTCCCCTTGCTCAATGGTTCTTCCTGCTAATCCTCTCTCTTCCTCTCCTTAAGCCTATCCCATATCTACAAATAGCCAGCACTCAATTTCCCACAATACTTTCTCCTAATCACGAATTTGGCTATTTTGTTAATGCCTAAAGGCTTCCTAATCTTACGTTTGGGTGTGAGGTCACCGAAGTTGCACTATATATTTGGAGTTACTTTGCATACGTTTACTTGCCATTCAAAGAATCTCCTGTGGCAACAGTGTTGTTACATTCATTTTGTATGAAGCTGCTTGTCGAAAACGTTCGTTAGTCTATCTCACCTAAGAAAGTAGTCGAATTTCCCAGAATTTGTAAAAGTTTTCCATTTAAATGAATTTGATTTACAGTCATGTATTTAACTGATAAATTGAGTCCATGTAATCCTGGAATGATGGTAAGCATTGTTCTGACTATTCAGAGTTATGACTGATTATTACGTAATCACACTTAAACACACACATTCAACCATGAGAGGATGTAGGATGACATTGAATGTAATTAATCAAATCATCCCATAACTTCTTTGTTTAGTACTGAACTGACAGATGATTTGATTGGTTACTTTTTACGTCATCCTACATCCTCTCATAGTTGAATGTGTGTGCTTAAGTGTGCTTATGAAACCAACAGTCATAACTGTGAATAATCAGAACATCTCATTACACTGATTTACTGGTAGTCTCGAAACCCTATTATCATACGAATATAAGTAACGTTGTCGATTGCTATAGCAAACATACTTTTGCTTCATCGGCACTCCCACCAAA